GGGTCGGCGGCGCGCCCGTGGCTTCCCGCTGGTCCGCTCGCCAGCCGCCCGGGGCAGCGATCCCGGGTTCGGGGCTGCACCGAATCTGAAGGCGTGGAAACGTGATTTGTGGGTTCGCTTTATGCCCAACAGCTACTTCTCCGCAGGCTTGGAAAGAAAGTCTAGGAAGAGAGGCCCCACTACACAGAAGCGCAGCGCCTAAGGCGCGAAGACATAAACCAGATGAGAAAAATACGTGGAGTTAGGTTCTTTTCATCACTGGCTAATTTTGCCAGATTTGTTTCAAACAGACGATTTTGCTTGTGTCTCCTTTAATTCCTAACCCTGCCGTATGGTTGCCTGTCATAACGAGAGGAAAAAAGTTCAGGTAAATGCCTTTCCGAGAGCACTTGCCAAGATCCTGCCTGCATGAATACTTAACAAACATTGTATCTGACCTGAAAGGAAAGTTTCCTCCCAGTAGGCTTCGCAATACAGTGGTAGCAGTGGTCCAGCTTTCAGGAATGACCTGGATTTGAAATGTTGCCTCTTGTTAGATCCTGAACACACACTATCACTGCACGAAACACTGAGTCGCTGGATACTAGTATTCTTTCTGCCTATTTGAATCAGTGTCTTCCTCATGACTGCTCCAAGCTCTTCTCTGCTGTTTATCCTTATGGTTGCTTCCTTTCCCAGATCAATCTTCCCCAAAGGCCACTTGCACCACCCCTAGAGGCCTGGTATGGCTGCAAATAACCATGACCTCTTTTCCCAACTGGGCCAAGGATGGTCTAATCCAGCTTTCCCTTTCTTGCTCGCCTTGAAAATAAGCTTTGCAGGAAAAGACACAGAATAATCAAAATAACAAGCATGGAAACCTAAATGTTCAAAAATCTCTGTGCATTCTTAAAGTCATTATATTTCAAATATAGCTCCTAAGGGTTAGCAAAGCATGTTAGAGTATGAAAGTGAACTTAAGAAGATTTCAGTCTCTGTTCTAGAGCCTGGTCCTCAATTTGAAGAGACAGAAACGTAAAGTTGTTAGCCCACAGAGCTGGTTTAAATCCAGGGGGGTGATCCATGCCAACCAAACTTACTAGAGACACTGATATGTAAACGGAAATCCCAATTTATTCTTTTTATTTTCTCTCATGAAAAACATAACTGCCATGAAAACCAGAAAACTCTGGTCATCACATTTCACTCAAAAGGAACATTTACATGAGAATCCAAATTATAAAGGATGTCTGATGAGTATGAAATCAACACACAGGAAGTAATTTGGATGATTTGACTACTCCATCCTTAAAGCTCCTCCCTTGGCTTCTAGAACACAGCTCTCTTGGTTCTCTTGACTTACTGTCCATATCTTCCCATCTGCCTGGGGGCGGTGGGTGGATGCAGGGTGGAGGGGATCAATGCTGGGCCGGAAGGGGGACATCCATAGTATTTTCAACAATAAAGATAATTTTTTTAAAAAGAGCTTCTCTCCCCCTGACTTGTATTTCCTGCCCCTTTCCATCCTGTACACACTGTCTAAGTCTCCTCATAGTACTCATTCTCCGTAAGTGAGATCATGTTCCACACTGTTCCCTGGCTGTCACAGAGGTGATTTCCCAGCTTCCATTCCACAACTCTCGTTGTGCTCACTCACCCAAGTTGGGTGGAATAACCACCCCACCCCCAACTCCAAGAAGGATCACATTAGCCTGAAACTATTGGAATCACCCTTTCCTTTGAACCAGTTTTTGTTTCAGAAGCAGAGTGAAGCACAGGATTTTTGTGTGGGGGAAAAAGAGAAGGTTTTTTATTTCTTTCCTTCTTTCTCTGGATGATATGGTGTTCAAATGTGAATACTAGAAGAACCACAAACTTTTTTTTTTTTTTCTACTTAGGGGAGCCAACTGAGAATAATACTAACGTGGAGGCGGGAAAGGAAGTCAATCCCAGAGATCATCATAAACTTTCAAATCAAACCCAACATAAGCCCATGCTACCTCTAGACTTCTCTGTTATATAAGCCAATAAATCCTCTTTCTGTTTAAGCTGAAGGAGTCCAGAATAAGCCACTGTAGCATAAAAATTATTTTTAGCTGAAGGCATTTGAATTCCTGAAATCCCTTATCTGCCTCACCACAAAAAACTCAATTATCGTAAATCTCCTCCCAGGGAGCAACCGGTAAAGAATGACCCATATCAGTAGAAAACATGAGAGTAGTTACCATACCTAAACCACAACATTGTCACAAAACTAGCATCTCCATTCTATTCCCCTAAGGGCCCATTTATCCTTCCTAAAAGTTACTTGTTTTCCCATAAGTTCCCTCTTTCCCCTATCCCTCTTCTAAAAAGTGCTTCGTTTTCACATAAGCGTCCTTTTACCCCTCTCCCTCACCTATTGAAAGGATATAAAGCCCCAAATTCTAATCACCCCTGTGAATTACCTTTCTTTGTGAACTTCCCTACATAGTATGTAACTAAAATGTCTTTTCTCTTGCTAACCTGTCTTTTGTCAGTTTAATTCACAGGCCCCCCAAAACAAAATCTAAGACAGTAGAGGAAAATATTTTCCTTCCTGACAGAGCCTGTTTGAGTTGGGTTTTCTGTTACCTGCCACTGAAAACAACTGTGGTGTAGACAATGATAAATATTTACCATCTTATTTTCTTCTCGTGTACCCAGGAAACCCACATTTCCTAGCTCCCTTACATCTGCATCGGGTCATGTGCCCACTTCTGGCCAGTGTAATGTAGACAGAAGCAGTAGTTGCCCAATCTAAGCCTAACCCTTAAAATTTCCAATGATTTATAGTTCCTTTTTGTTGTTTACACATCAGTCTGCCAGATACAGAAAACTCTTGAGGCTGAGGAGCTAAGGGATGGCAGCAACAAGAGATAGAAGGATCCTGGGACTTTTTCTTTTTTTAAATCCTCACCCCAGGGTATGCTTTCATTAACATGAGAGAGAGAGAAAGGGGGAGAGAGAGGGAGAGAGAGAGAGGGAGAGAGAGAGAGATGTGAGAGAGAAACTTTGATCAGTTGCCTCCTACATGCGCCCTGACTGAGGATCGAACCCATAACCTACGTATGCGACTTGACCAAGAATTGAAGCTGCAACCCTTTGGTTTATAGGACAATGCTCCAACCAACAGCTACCTGACCAGGGTGACACTGGGGCTCTTAATAATTGCATGAGCACATCCACCACAGTCACTGGACTGATTAAAGCAAAGTATAAACCTTTTACTGGGTTATGATACTGAGATTTTGGGTTTGTTAAGCGAACATAAGAAACCTTCGAACCTGTAGAAAATTTTATAAGAGCTTATTTGAGCCAAGGTGACATATACTGGGAAGCAAGATGTCAAATGTTCCAGAGAATAAACAGTTTTGCAGCTTCCTTTATGCATTTGAAATTTAGGAGGAAATGTATGGAGGATTATATGGAGGTGGGAAAAAAACAGGCAGAGATTAGATTACAGGATAGTTAACAAGATTATGTGGTCTTTTGAGGGTGGTTATTTCAGAGGTGTGTTAACCTACTCAGAGGTAGGGAACCTTTTTTCTGCCAAAGGACATTTGGATATTTATAACATCATTCCTGGGCCATACAAAATTATCAATTTAAAAATTAGCTATGAAAAAAAGCTCCTAGATTTATTGAATTTCTCTTTTTTCCTTTCCATAATATTTTTCTTCCTCTTTTTTTTTAACTCTCACTGAGGATATTTTTTCCATTGGTTTTTTAGAGAGAGTGGAATGGAGGGAGGAGGAGAGGGAGAGAGAGAGAGAAACATCAATGTGAGAGAGACACATCAATTGGTTGCCTCCTGCACACACCCTGACCAGAGCCGGGGATCAAAACCTGCAACCCAGACATATGCCCTTGACTGAGAATCAAACCCGTGACCCTTGAGTCCACAGTCTGATGTTCTAATCACTTAACCAAACCAG